TAGACCTAGCTTCACCGCTCTCCGCCTCCAACGGGCAAGCATACACTCACTCCCTCGCAGGTAATCGTGGCCTGCGGCCGACGCAACTAGTAAGTATCAATCACCCTCCCTTTCTCCCTCCAACAGGACGAGTAAAGTCAGAGTGCACCTCCCGGTCGAAAACGGGAAGGGGCACCCGTCTTGCAACTACACGCGGAATGAGGTAGGCAACAGCTACGGCCTCCGGTTGAGCAAGCAATTCGTAATGAATCTCCTGCTAAACTCGGCTAGGTGCATTTCCCCGGATGAGCGATGCACCGGTCAATAGGTAAGCTCCCCAATCACGCAGCCAACCTCCTGTTATGTCTATCAATGCAATGAGCAACGTCGGAAGGATCCACCGCCAAAATATGAAAATACACACTGGTATTCAACTATTCGCGCAAAGAGACAGAAAGGGCCTACTTCGATCGAAGGGATAAGCAAAATCGAATGAATTCTTCCGCTCGAACGCGAAAACATACATTGTCGCTTCCAAGTTTCACCATGAGTGACATATAAAAGATTCTTCAACTATAGCCATTGTTGGCTAGTCAAACCACTACAATGAAACAATAGTATACAAAAATCTTTTTGCAATATGTTGTGTTTTTTCTTAATAAGCGTTATTCTCGATTTCATCAATTTTGATTGCCTTTTTTTGCATCTCGCAACCCTCGCTGTTGTCAACGGAATTTTTTTCCTCGTCGAGCTCGAAATCTGAGCTCGGCATCGGATTTACCATCCCTTAAAAGTCTCTAAAAATAAGCCTTCGGAATGTAAACGAGCTCGGATTCGGGCTACCTTGGACTCTGAACCTCCCAACACTTTTTTTTCTTACTAGCTTTTATACTACTAACTTCCTGCTAAAACCAACTCTGAATTCGGATAGACCTGACACTAAACCCCTAACTACACCTTCCCTCAATCGATCTTGTTGAGAATCGAATAGTATTCTGAATCTTTTTGCTTCCTCTATCTCTACTCCCACCATAGCTTTGCGCACATCGTTTTCTTCCTGAACTCCTTACCAAAACTAACTGCAGATTCGGCGTCGCCCACCCCGAAATACCCTTCCTAGCACTTCTTTTTGTCCAATTTCTTCGAAGGATCGGTGAAGCTAGCACATCCCACCCTCGCCTCTCACTTCGTCTGCCATCTCTCTTTTGCACGCTACCGCTCTCCCTTCTGTCTGCTCTTTTTTCCATGATCTGGCGCACCTTTCCACTCCGCTGGTCTGACAACGCTTTGGTTATCGAAAAGAGCGAAATCTCTCTTCCCGCCGGGCAGCACACCTTAAACAATCCCCTCTGTCAACGCAGAGCAACTCACCTGAAGACTTTCTGATTCTAGGCGGGCCAGACAAGTACTCCAGTATCGTCCCTATGTAAACCGATGTCCCGAAGTACAAAAACACGGTCGACGGCCTCGAGGTATTACCATCGAACTGATCGCCCCCAAAAGGTAAATTTGAGCCGCAATATTTTACTCATCTGCGGCCATCGGGTTTCAGGCTCATAACCGCACTTCGCCATTTCTCGAGTGTTCCAGCTGAGCCAGGAACGTCGACTTTCAGTACTGGTTTGGGTCTTGATTCTGGTATTGGAACCAGCACCCGTCCTGAAAGGAGGAGGAACACGAATACCCAGCAAAATAAAATAGCTATTGTCCCACCTATCAGGCCCACATGTACGGTCGACAACAAAGCCAAGGGGGATGGCCCCATCGGGCCCTCAACCCCTCAGTCCCTTCAAATTGCTCCAATGATCTCGCATCGCCGCTCACGGGTCTCGATCTCTGAATCCCCCGTTTGAAAGTCCGACACCGTAACCAATAGTGCTAGTCCCAAGGCTGGTTCTAGCACTAGCAATATCCTATATAAGCGGGTGTTACGAGGCGCGCGGGTGTACCAAAACTCCCATGAGCACCCTCTCATCTCTCATGCTAATCCTCCTCAATCATTGCGACCCCCGCCCACCCTCGGACTCTCGTCACGCGAGCCACACCGTCGTCCTCCGCACATACACATGCCACGATCAAACGCACCAATTAGGAGACCAAAATCCTTTTTAATCCTAGTTTAATCGGAGACAAAAACCTGTCCGGCAACCACGCCGGCTTCTCAACTATCAACAAGAAAAGAGATCACGTGCGCCTTAAGTCTGCGCGCCCACACACTCTCTACTCTAGTCAACCATTCAATCAGCAACAGACACAAGTACGACTTGCACGGTGCACTCAAACTTTAAACCGAACCTATTTTTTGTCAGCCAGGTCGTATACCCTTGTAAGGGTATTCGCACCAACAGCATCAAGTCTTTCATTCATTCTGCCTGTGAGCGGTGTGGAAGCGCTGTCCGAGCGTCTTGTGCTACGTTGGTCTGCAGGTGCCCGAAGAACGAGAGGGCTAAGAGGAGGAAGAGGCAGCCATAACCGCTAGTTAGTAGTAGGAGGTAGATGGCAGCCATAGCTGCCAGTTAGGAGGTTAGTGTGTGTGTATACATGTGAGAGTGAGTATGTGTGGGACATCCAGGGTGATCCACAGTGTGTTGTGTGTGTGCGAACAAGTTGGGTGATACAGATGATCAGTCGGGAATCTTGGTCTGGCGCTTCGCGCCATAGCCATTTCAAGACAAGCTTGAATCTGAGTTATGTTCCTGGCTACGTTATCTCTGAGCTTTGTGTGGCCGCTGTTGTGCCAGGTGTGATCGTCACCTATTTGCATGCATGCTGAGCGAAAGAAGACAAATCTGATTGCAACTTGTACGCTGTGAGAAAGAGGCAGAGTGAAGGGGGAGGGGATAAACACAAGGCAGAGAGATGGAGAGCAGACAAAGAAAAAGATAGAAGGGAAAGTAAGGGAAAGTACGAAGTGTGGAGTGGAGATGAAGGCAAACAAGGATACGAAAAGGCTCAAGAAAGAGTTTGTCCTTGACAACCGAGAGGACATATATTGTAAAGATGAGGTGGATGAACACATGGAAGTGCTAGCTGAGCATTCTCAGTGCAACAATTGCCACGATGCCTGGCATTGAGCACGCCCACCATACACCCCCGACAAATGGCATGTTGAATGCAGGCCAAAATGAAGGAAGAATTGTCACCACAAAAAAGCATGCATTCAGTATAGCGCCTATGGCTGCAAAATGGACATTGACTGTCCAGATGCGGACGGTGCCTGCAGTCAGGAGAGGAGGGACAGTCCTCTGCACACATGGATGCAGAAACCATGTCATTGTAGTGATTGTGACAGAGACGATGGCGGCTACAGCCGAGTGTAACAGTGTTTGTGGCTGTGCAAAGGAGAAGGTCACAGAGTGTTAGTACATTGTCTTGCTGCAGCACGGGGCCAGCGGAATGATCTTCGACATAAAAGAGATTGCAGATGGTTTGTTGTGGCAAGAAACCAACATCCTTTTGAAAGAAATCAGTGACATCAGTCATGGCATGGACCATGGTGTCGTTCTCCCACAGCTCCCAATGGTCAGAGGCATGTACAATTGCCATGTAATGGCCAGGCCCGTGCACAATGCAGACAAAGATGAGGGATGGAGGATTAAACAACTCACCTGCTCGAGCATTGCATAGTTCAAGTTGACGGTCCCTCATTGCTACTTGTAGGACAGCAATGGTAAAGCCTCCTTCGCTGGTATAATTACAATCCTCTCGCTGTAGTTGGGAACGATCAGCATCACGCTGAAGGGTGATTGCAAGGAAGTCTAATGGTGTATAAAACGGGTGGTGGAGAATTGAAGACAGATATTAGTTGTCATCAGACCACAAAGATTGGTGAGGTCCCAGGCTTTTTTTTTCGGAAATCCGTTAGACACATATCATTCCCCACATCTTCTTCTTCTTCTCTCCCCAATCATCCACCCCTTCATCTCTTCTTCCTATTCTTCTTCTTCTTCCCCCCACCATCACCCACCCCCACTTCGTTTTTTKTTTTTTTTTTTTAATTCGAAAATTTGTAGGCCGCTCCACAGCCACCCCATCTTCTTCTTCTTCTTCTTCTTCGTTCAAGTGCAACAGCACTAACTTAACCCCAATTCTTCTTCTTCTTCTTCTCTCCCTAATCATTCACCCTTTCTTCTTCTTCTTCTTCTTCTTCTTTAATTCTTCTTCCTCTTCTTCTTCTTCTTTTTCTTCTTCTTCCCCACACCATCACCCGCCCCCACTTCGTTGTTTCTTTTTTTCCCCTCGGAAATTCGTTAGGCACTCATCATCCCCCACATCTTCTTCTTCTTCCTCTTCTTCTTCTTCTTCTTCATTGAACTGCAATAGCAATAAGTTTACCCTAATTCTTCTTGTTCTTTTATTCTCCCTAATCCACTTCCTTTTCTTCTTCTTCTTCTTCTTCCACCCCATGTTCTTCTTCTTCTTCTTCTTCTTCTTCTTCCTCTTCTTCTTCTGCTTCCACCCCATCTTCTTCTTCTTCTTCTTCTTCTTCTTCCTCTTCTTCTTCCCCCCACCATCACCCACCCCCACTTCGTTCTTTTTTTTCCTTCTGAAATTCGTTAGAACCTCGTCATCCACCCCATCTTCCATTTTTATTTTAGTATTTTTTTTTTTTTTTCGGAAATTTGTAGGCACTCATCATCCACCCCATCTTCCGTTTTTATTTTATTATTATTTTTTTCTTCGGAAGTTCTTCGGCACTCGTCAGCCACCCCTTCTTCTTCTTCTTCTCTTCCTAATCATCCACCCCATCTTCTTTTTCTTCAACTTCTTCTTCTTCTTCTTCTTACCACCATCACCCACCCCTTCTCCTTCTTCTTCTTCTAACATCTTTTTGACGACCATGGCAGGTAATCGGGGACCATTCGTGCCCAATACTGCTAAGTTAAAGAGGAACTGCTATGGAAGTTCAACGTTTGGAAATGGGTGGACCGAGGGCAGAAGTTGTTGGGCGGTACATCACATGGCAACTGGAGATTGCGGTGCAGATGGTGCAACAAGGAGTTCGCCGGAACGGCGTCGAGGGCGGCGAAGCACTTTGTCCAATCGTCAGAAGTTGCTCACTGTAAGCACAACACCGGGGAGATTGCTGCTGCAAGTGCCACTCGTCACAAGGAATATGCCCAGTGATGATGAGGAAACTGAACGAGTATTACAGGACGCAAAGCCGTCCGCCAGTCGCGGAGGATCCCGTGGATTTGGAGCCCGATCAGCGCACGGGGGGGGAGGGTGGTCATGACACACCTCCGTTGGGGGCAGATTGCAGGGCAAGTCCGGCGCCGAAGGAAGGGATCGGCATTGGTTTTGGATCGACCTCCATCGTGAACAGAGCAGCCCCCACTTGCACGGATAATAAGACGCCATCAGAGATCGTCAAGTACTTGCGGGGTCCCGTACTGGCTTCCACTCGCCCACCACGACCTCCCTCTGCCGGTGTGGGGCGTCAGCAGACATCCATGGCCACTTTTGTCGTGGATGAGCTCCAGAAAAAGTTTGACCAGGCAATCGCCTCATTCTACTTCAAGAACGACATTCCATTCAACGCTGCAAGATCAGACTCCTATAAGAACATGGAGAGAATCATGAGCGAGGCGGCCAGGTCGCCAAGGTACAACTTCTTAAGGACGAAGGCCCTACCCACGGAGTGCAAAACTGTGGATGGAGATTTGGAGAAGATCCGTGAGCCATGGGATATTACAAGCCTTAAGTTGATGACGGACAGTACGACAACGACCAGCGACAGGGCAGTCATGAACTTCATTGCGGCCGGGGATTCGGGGGCTGTCATGGTGAAGAGTGTTGATATGGAGGGGAAGGACAAGTCGGCTCCGGCTTTGGAGAAGATGTGGGAGGAGGTCATCAGGGAGTTGGGGGTGCACAGGGTCAATGCCATATGCACCGACTTGGCACAGGTGAACATATCCGCAAGGAAAACGACGACCCGACGATTAGGAGGATTCCTTGGGTGCCATGTGCATGCCATGTGTGTAACCTGCTCATGTGCGACATCACTTCAGTGCCATGGATTGGAGGAGTAATTATGCAAGGCACAAAGATCACCACCTTCATCAAGAAACACCTGAGAGCATTGGCGATGTTCAGAAGGGCCAGGAGGGAGTATAAAACACAACAGGGCATCAAAGACGGTAGGTCGTTGGAGTTGATCCAACCAGGGAAAACAAGATTCGGCACAAACTTCTTCATGTTGCAGAGACTACGGGAGGTGGAGGCAGTGTTGCTGGCGACTGTATCCCATGCGCGCTGGGATGATTCCCCATGGGACCGGACTGCAACGACAAGGGCGCGAGCATTGAAGGATCTCATACGAGACCCGCTTGGCGGTTGACCGTCGAGCGGGCATGCACTTTGCGTCAGCCAGTCTTTTCATTGATGAAGGACATGGACATAGACGGGAGTATGGGGATGCAGGTGTGGGCTTTGGGGATCACGTTGGAGAAGAGGATGGCTGTTTTGTCCATGGTTTGTGAGACAAGGGCAATCGTGACGAAGAAGGTGAAGGAACATGTGCGGATGATGCCTCTAACTCTGCATAGAGCAGCATGGATGTTGCACCCACTCCACGGATCGCCTAGATTATTCGATTACTTGGAGTCTAAGGAGATCATGAACAGTCTGGCACACTTTGTTGCCGTTTACACAAAAAAATTGAAAGAGTACAAAGAGTGTTGGAGGACCTTGGAAAGTTTCCATCACAAAGATCTGGAGTGGATTCCGCCGAACTCAGAGGAGGCTTTGAGAGGCACTCGCGTTTCACCGGTGCAATGGTGGCCGACATACGGGAAGAATCACAAGTCGTTGCAGAAGATTGCAGTCGCAATGCTTAGTATGTGGACAACCACCTCTCCATGCGAAAGGAATTGGTCGACCTTCGACCTCATTTACACAAATAGGAGAAACACGTTGAGCCTGGAGAACTTGCAAATGCTTGTCTTCATCCATTGGAACAAGAAGTTGCAGAGGATGTCGAAGATGAAGATCGGTTTTGTTACCACCGAGCGAATGGAGTGGGAGACACCGGAGGACTTACTTGGCTCCCTATGATGGCTTCATGCAAGACAGGGAGTACGGCCCGGAGGAAGTGAAGAGGAGGGCAGCGAACTGGTCCAAATCTCGCGGACATAGACCGAAGTCGACCAAATTCGACATTCGGGAGCTTGAGGAGGAGAGGGTGGACGACGGGGCATGGCTCCTTGATCTTACGACAGCACATGGCTCCTTGATCTTGCTTATCACCCTTGTCGTCTTGCAGATCATGACTGTGGGAAGACCGTTGTTGATGTTGACGATGAAGAGTTGACAACGAGGATGATGACGAGTTGGTTCGAGTGGAACTCGTTGACAGGTGGTCGACTAGGAGGTCGGGAGGTGGTTCATGTTCTTCCTCCCCGCACAACCACATCACCACGTCAGAGGTCCTTGCGTCTAGCGGGTGCTCGGTGGGCACTTCAGCCTCGTTGACGACTGAGGAGGGTATTTGTTCACAACGTCCGACTTCCACATAGTGGTGCAGCTTCGCTGCAAGGGACCGCCTCACTCTCGGGGGCACAGCTCACCCGTCATCGGCGACCCACGCTCGAGGACGAAGGCACCGCTTGTGGGACCACACCAGGGGGGTCGGCACACATCCCCGATGACAGTGATGTGGTGGAGGCAGATGCGTCTGTTGGTGCAGACATTGACACCCCCATTGTTGTTGCTCCGGGTGAGGCTGATGCGGTAATTGGTGTGCGTGGGATGATCCGGTCGGTGCCACTGCTACGAACAGTGTTGTTGGTGCAGTTGACGATGGTGTTGTGGGTGCAGACATGGAAGCGGCGATGTGTTCTCCACTCCGGATAAGGGGTTGCAATTGGGGAAGAGATTCGCCTCCCTGTTGCCCCACATGGCCCCTATTGCCCCGCGTGGCTCTGCACAAGACTTTTGTAAGCACCTGGCTTCGATGTCCCCAATGCGGACTGATGACGAGTCTAACACCCCTGACTGGGCCAGATTCACAGAACCCACCCCGCCCACTCTACGGTTGAACGAGGACATTCGGCTGGTCGTTGGGGAGGGGACATGTGCCCAAGTTTTACAGGAGAAGGACCCCGCCAGTCCAGGATGGTGGAACGACCCCACCGCATGACATGAATGCACGGTGTCACCGCCCGGCATTGACGAGAGCAAGGTGTGCCAAGTGAAGAGCTTGGGGGGCAGAAAGAAGGGAGGAAAGAACAAGGAAAAGAAGGCAGCGGCACCCAAGATGAGAAGTGGAAAAAGGAACGGATGCGAGACTGTCACGCCGCCTGAGACCTTGGAAGAAAAAAGTGTTGTTGTTCGACAAGGGAAGAGGAAGAAGTCTCGACGAGTGCAAAAGAAAGCTGCGGCAGCTGATCGATCACCAAAACACGGACCGCAGAAGACGAGGAAACATGTGCAAGAGGACGATGAGTCGAGTAGCAGCAGCTCTTGGCCTTCCTCGTCTTCGTCCCGATCGGGGTCGGCATCGTCGTCAACAGACACGAGTAGCCGCAGTGAATGAAAGTGTGTCGTTGATGTGTGTGTGCGTGTGTGTGTGTGTGTGTGTGTGTGAGTGTGTGTGTGTGTGTGTGTGTGTGTGTGTGTGAGAGAGAGAGAGAGAGAGAGAGAGAGAGAGAGAGAGNGTGTGTGTGTGTGAGAGAGAGAGAGAGAGAGAGAGAGAGAGAGAGAGAGAGAGAGACTTATTCCACTTCTTCTTCCACTTCTTGTTCTTGTTCTTCTTCTTCTTCGTCGTCCTCGTCGTCTTCCTCTTCTTCTTCTCCTCTTCGTCATCTTCGTCTTCTTCTTTGTCTTCCCATTCTTCAGTCTCTTTCTTTTCTACGGTAGCCTAGGTGGGCTCGAATCTTGTCTCAGTTTTTCAGACGCCAGGGACTTGGTTCATCTTCCTGTTGAAGTGATGCTTTTCTGCAATTGAATCAAGCACCTCTGCAGACTTGGTTCATCTTCTTGCTCAACTTCCTGTGTTCCCCCCCCCCTCCCCGACGGAACCCCCAAACACCCAACCCCCCCCTCCCCCAATCAAACACCCTGCCCCCGAACACCACGCCGACTGGTCAGCTGCAATATGGCGGACTGGTCGGCTGCAACCCTGCACTACGTCTGATTTGCAGCAAAAGATAAGCTGCATACCCTAATGACCCAATCTATAGCGAGATTATGAACAAGGTACAGAAAGCTCCACATTTCTCCTCAGTTAAATAACAAAACAAGGAAAAATCGAATGGCCAAAAAAAAACAAACGCCGACAAAACTTGGCATAAGATGCTCGTGTGGACTACCCCTTCCAGAGGAGAACGCGATGGGAAATGCAGGCGAAGAGAGATATCGGAGGAAGGGGGGGCAGAGGGCTAAAGAAAGATTAGAGAGGGGTGGTTTGATCTGAACATGGGGAAGAGAGGGAAGGAAGAGGAACAGCAGAGGGAGCAGAATATGGAGGATATGAAGACGATGGGGCTTGGAAAGGAAAACTTGGCATAAGCTACGTGTGTGGGTCCAGCATCATCAGATTGAGTTCCCCCCTTTCCAAGCCTCTTCCCTCTCCCCCTACCATCTATCCAGTCTCTCGAAATCCCTTGCCAATATCCGCCTCCACCTCCTTTTCCCCGTACAATCCGCCCCCTGCCATAATTCCATATCCCAGGGAGGAAGATGAGCAGCAAAAGACAGAAACTATGGAGGGGACGAAGACTAGGAGGGACGAAAACTAAAACTTGGCATGAGCTGCTCTTGTGGACAACGCATCAGGGAGGTTGGCATTAACGAAGAGAAATGGGAAACACAGGTGCGGATGTATACCAAAACAGGATTGTGTGGGAGGGGGCTGGGGGCCAGGGCACGTTGTGATGTGAACAATGGGAATGTGAAGAAAACCACTGTGTTTTGTCACTCTTGACAATCCTGCCGCATGCAGGGTCTGGGAAGACCGCAGGGCTGCCCAGAAGACACAGTGGTGCGTGAGTGGCATTAATGGCACTGCCTTGGAAGGCTGGCGAATCCATGTCTCTGAATGGTGCAGCTATCCGGACTCGATAGACAGACCTAAGTTCGATCCTCACGTCCATATGGCTATTTTAGCACTGAACTACCTGGCCCCTGTAAATTGGATGATGATGGACCTCGCAGTGCAACCCGCCGCATGTGAACAAGATGAATTGGGGGCAGCGTATCTTGCTGCACGGCTGGCGAATCCATGTCGCTGAATGGTGCATCTATCAAGTCTCGATAGACAGACTTAAGTTTGAATCCTGATATACGTACAACGTTTTTAGCTCTGAACTACCTGGCCCCTGTAAATTGGATGCGCCGCCCACCACGTGCACAAGACAGAGGTTAGTGTATCTGGACACATTGCAGTGGGAGACAGAGGTTAGTGTCACCCTTTCACAAAAAAACGAAGTCCAAGGCACTTTCATATAATGATAAGAAAAAGGCAATGCAACTGTGGCCCTACTCTTCCCAGCATGATTTTGGGCTCACAGGCGGTCACAGACTCCCAACACAGCAGATCGGAACTTTAAAACACGGAGCTTATCGTACGACAGGTACTGGTGGACAGCAGAATCCAGTAAGGATAAGTCACGACACAGTATTACACCCGACCGGAGGAACTTTTGACTGAGAGAATCGTTTATTCTTGCTGCGTGGCCAGCTAATGGTGCATTGGAGAGCATAGCTCACCGAGGTTTATGAGGAGACCTAACGCGCAGGTCTGAGACTGAAGGGCGGTGGGCCGTTACACGGTGCAGGGAAAGATTTTTGGCGTGGCTGACCCCAAGGGATAGGAGAAAGCGCAGGTTGAGATACGTGCTTTGACGGCACAGTGGAATGGTGCCTGCACGTGTCATTGTGCGGAAGGGGACATTATGAGCAAGGGGCACATTATGATGATTGACTCTAGAGAGACTACACCCCAATGTAAGCATTATAGTACTGAACTCACAGTTGGGTAGAAATCTTCATTACTTGTCGAAAATGTCGCACTGCAGAGAAGGTCTATGGGTGTCTCATCAATAGCTGTGGTGATTGCAGCTGATGTTCTTTCCTTGGACTGAGATTGGGCAGCAGCAGGTGACTGCATTTGCAGCCTTGATGATGTATTCCTCATCCCGTGCTTGTACAAATGTGGATCAACTCCTAACATTCCCCAAACCTGCACAATCAACAGCATCCATCACATGAAATGAAAAATTACACTGGAACCTTAATTACGTATATCGTTGAGTCAGCAATCATTACAATATTCAGAATTTCCTCAACACATCCAAATGCACCAACTTGTCAAACAGAAATGTAACCAGCAATGTACACACTGCATGAGGCCGACACATCATGGACTGACCCCGGGCCAATGAGAGAGCAGCATTGTCATCACACATGAGCTGGGAGCCAATGAGAATGCTGCGAACACTTGGAGGCTGGGTGGCTGCCTGAACGTGCCTAACTGCACGAGGACCAGGCCAGTATCAGAACCCTGGCCTGGGGACACACACTTGGGGCCAGAAGCAAGCTACTGGGGCCCCCACATGCCTGGCCAGGCCAGCCAGCAACGGGCACACTTTCCATAAAGGAAAATGTGCCCCAGTGGGAGGGCATTCTGTCCTGTGCAGGCATCGCGGCCACACTGCTGCACTGCCATGCGAAGCTGCAGTAAGCAGGCAGGCTGGGGAGCGCCGGCACCAAGTGGGCTCGTTGCATGCGAGGATAAATAACGGGCAGTGCTGATCATAAGCGAGTTCCTAGGCAAAAGGGTGGGCTATTGTGCACGCGACAGAATGCTGCTTGATGATGCAGCCAGGATCTCTGGATACAGAGGAAGGGAAGGTTCCAATTGGTGCTCGTACACAAACAAAATTTATTCCCATTTCTGCATACATCTGTGCATGTGATTTTTTTTTTTTTTTTGAATAGTTGAGGTGACAGACTGCTAACACCTAACAGACAGCGTCAGACTAGAACTGTAGTAGTCTACCTTAGCCAGTTCTGATTCGTTGCTGCTGTGTGAGAACTGATCAAAGTAGGGTAGATCATTTGTTTAGTTTTTGTAAATGCTGTTGACACCACGTGATTAGTAGCCTAGTCGACTTGCTGAATATTAATTTATTATATTTTATTTTACAACTCAGTCAGACATGTTGTGGTAGGCCCCAGTGAGGGCACTAGTGCAGATAGTGATCTGCTTAGCTGATGAGCGGCACAGATAGTGGGGAAGGGACAGCTGAAGATAGGAGGCAAACACAGCGGGACTCGGTAGGATTCCAGTAGTGTTTCAGGTTCTGCTGCCAGGGGACGACAGATGGTTCCGGGCCGAAGCAAGGGCCCGTCATTTGCAGACGGCTAGGGAGGCAGCAGCTGCGGAACAAGTGTTATCGGCAGCAGCAGCTAGCGCAATGGCAATGGCTGCATCTGCAGCAACCTCTCAAGATCAGCAAACGTCAGGTACCTTAGTCTCATCCAGTGGGACTAGTGCTGGACCCTCCACGAGTCAGATGGCAGGCTCGCAGTACAGCCTGCCACCCCCACCTACTAAAGAGGAGTTAGAACTCCAGCAAGTAGAGTTACTCCGCTTACAGCTAGAGAAGCAACTAAGAGATGCTACTAAAAGAAAAGACCAGATTAGCAATCATAAGGCTAGATTGGACAACATAGAGGCAGATAAGGCTGCATTCAAAGGAATAGATGATTCAACCATGGACGATGTAGGAAATATCATCCGGGCGAATCTGCTAAACATTAACGAGTGATAGCCGACTGGATGAGATGGCCGTGCAGGGAAGACGGGGACCACTACCCTCCATGCCTAGCAGGACAAGTGTCCAGCAACAAGCAGCTTTTCCATCGCCGGCTCAATTACCAGCGATGACAGGCCCCTTTGTTCCACAATTTGGCGTCCCACCAGGTGGTACGTCCGCAGCAGTAGCGCAGACTATTGATTTTTTATCTTCAGGTCCAACTGCTGCAGCTTCAGGGCAGCAGAAGGTGCAGTTAGCTCGCCGGATAGACAAGATCCCAGCAACCTTGGTACCGGAAAACCCCAATGAAACCCCCGACTGTGTTCACAGGAGACAAGACAGACAAGGCCCTCGAAACTTGGTCGAGGATGGTTCCATTGTGGGTAGGGACCAAGCGTACACTGTGTGAGGAGGTGATCACTTCCGCTTCTTACTTAGAAGGATCGGAAGCAAGATGGCTGAACAGGTACATGGCGACAAAGGGCTTTGCGAGGAGAATGAATGACTGGGCGCAGACCCAGACACTTGAAAGCTTCATGGACCTAGTCGAGGTGCATTGGCACAACCCTCAGCAGGCTCAACAAGCCACTGATGCGTTGGCCCGTCTTGACAGGCTCAACAAGCCACTGATGCGTTGGCACGTCTTGATACTAAGAAGTTCAAGACGGCGCGAAAACTCACAAGTGTCGTGGAGAAACTGGTCGTAGTACAGGGATTTCACTATGATCCCCAAGTCCTCCTAACCATGTTCTTGAGATGTCTTCCCACAGACATCAAGAATCTGTTGGTTAGTGAGGCCAGCATTGAGTATCACACCCTCTATTCTTTCAGCATCAAGGCCTTAGACTTAAGAGGCAAGGTTGGGATGGGCTCAGCAAGTAGTTGTGGATGGAAGAAAGAAGAAGACTCCATAAGAGTGGAAGAAAAAGGGAAGTTGGTTGATGATGGTTGATTCTAATGGGAAGCAAACCGAGATCGACCACCTTTCTGAACTTGTGGAGGGGACAGAGAGGCAGCGAGGAGAGTGCAAAGGGTAGCAACATTGTCGCCCTAACTAAAGGAGAGGCAGTTGGCTGCGGGAAGGGCGATCAACAAAAGAATCAGGGGCAGGCACAAAACGCAACAAGACTCCGGCTAGGGTGGGGGATGGCCTAGGTCAAGATGTGTGAAGGGACCGATATTCGCGAGGGGCTTGCATTAACTGCGACGAGTATGGCCACCGGCAGTTGAGTGCAAGAACGTAAAGGTTTCTCACAAGATTGCGCCTGAAGGAGGTTTTGGGGAATCTTTCGCCTAGAGAGGTGCTTCTACCAGCGGCACCCAGGGACACACATCTGGCCAGTAGAAGTGGTAGCTGCTTCTACTCATGCTGAAGTGGTTGGTGTACCTTCACCACTTCAGGAGAACACTTAGAAACTGAGTGGTCGGCAAGGGACCCTCGTGAGTTTTGGGTGCCATTGTCCAAAGGTCCTAAAGGGGAGCATTTCATTGTAGAAGTCAGTGTAGGTGGCTGCAATTGTGGTGCCTTCGTAGACATTGGCTCTACACGAAAACTTCAGAAGTCGCTCTGCGTTGAGAGACTTAGGGGACCGGTTGCAGCGCTTGAGTAGACCTGTAGCATCTACTCTACCCAACAAAGAGCGCACGTTAGTCAAGCACTACAACAAGGATGTGGTATGCACCTTCTCTTATGCAGGTGAGAAACTTGATCACCAGATTTCGTTCCTAATCAGCGACGACTTGCCTTTCGACATGTTGTTAGGTATGTACTGCCTTGAGCTTGCCAAACTCCAATTCAACTGGGACCGAAAAATGCTTAAGCATGTGTTACCTGATTGGAGAACCGTTATAGACTAGCCAAGTACAAAGCTAGTAGATTAGTTGACTCCTATGGGTGTACGTGTGCGAGTGCATTCTATAATTATTATAAACAGAACCAAGACGACGATAAGTCTGTCTCGAAAAAAGGGGAGGCCGTTAAAGTACCCCCAAAGATAGAGAACATCGTTGCTAAGTACCCCGATCTGTTTGAGGACCCTTCAAGAGCTGTAGACAGGGAGATTGTCCATGCCATATAAGTAACCCTAAGACCTGAAAGGGGAGGATCTATAGGATGGCCCCGACCGAGTTGGACAAACTTCGTCGGCAACTGAAAGAGCTCACAGAGAAGGGTTGGATCTCGCCTAGTACCTCCCCTTCGGCTCACCTGTCTTATTCGTTCCAAAGAAGCGGGGGTCATTAAGGATGTGCATAGACTGAAGAGGCCTCAATGTCATCACAGTTAAGAATGCAGAGTCTCTACCCCGCATCGACGACCTATTGGATAGGGTGCAGGGATGCAAGTACTTCACTAAGATAATTTTGAAGTCCTACTACCATCAAATTGACATTGGACCAGAAGATCAGCACAAAACCGCATTTCAAGCCAGGTACGGTCTACGGTGATGCCTTTTGGCCTTTCCAATGAGTTGGGTATATTCCAGCATGTGTAATGACCCGTCATAACACAGACTGAGAACACTGCTGATTTCTGAAGTTCTGCCGATGGAATGGATGCCTTGATGAGATTCCCGCGTTCTGCTGCGTTTTCTAAGTCTGTCTATGTGTGTGTGTGCTTGTGACCTGCATGCCTGTCTGAGTGCTTGTTGGTAAGAGTGTGTGTGGGACCCGCAAGGGCACTTTCTTAGGGCCGGTACTTACCTGTGGCCGTGGCCTTGAGGGTTGTAGCAGGGAAAACACTCAAGTGACGAAGCTAGCGGCCCTGAGGCCCTTGGGGTAGCGGAAAAACACTCAAGTAGGCCAGTAGCGGTAGGGTAGGTCTAGGCCGGTACCAATCCAACCAGTCTGAGTCTAGAGCCTGTACGGGTAATATCAGGGTCTGCAATGATGTTTCCCTCCGAAACGGAGGAGGTACCGGTTGCTTGGAGAGGCCGAGCGGCCTGGAAGTCACCGCCCAAGAGGCAAGCAGGCCGCTATATCTAGAGGCGGAGGCAAGAGCTCCGCCTCATTCTTCAGTATGCGAGTTGGGCGTCACGCTGCTGGAGCGCTAGGTGGAGGAGCGTTGGGCACTACAGCGCTGCTGGGAGGAAGAAGCCGGGAGCTTCCACCTTGGCTATGGTGGAGCTCAGCCGGTAGGAGGAGGAGGGAGAAGGGGACCAAGGAGGAGAGTGGTAGGGTACTTACCTGGCTATGGTAGACACCATCTTCATCTCCTTGCTAGGCGCTGCATCAGGAAGGCCCCAGTGGGGGTAATGCCGCATCAGGGAAGCTCGGAGAGAGTCAGGCATGGCGGTTGAGTAGGCAGCAGCATAGCTGCTGGGTGATGACCTTGGAGTAGGGAAGCGGTGTAGCTGCTTTAGGTTGTCTCTTGTACAGGAGGCTGAAGCCTCCGTAGTCCGCCATAGCCTCGGCCTGTATGTGG